AAGGTCTGATCCTCTAGGTGCTCTATCATAGTCATCAGCATACTTCCCATCACTCAAAGCAAGATTCTCAATGAGCTCCATTCCCTCTTCTACATTTTGACCGAGAAAGTAGCCTTTACTTGCCGTGTCTAGGAGCATGCAAATCTTTGGAAGAGCTCCTCTATAGATGGTGCTCAAGAGTGTCTCCTCACTGAAGCCGTGATGAGGACAAGCTATAGTGTAGTCTTTGAACCGCTCCATTGCTTCACTAAAGGTCTCATTCTGCCTTTGTGTAAAACCGCTTATCTCACTCTTTAGCCGAGCTGTTCTTGTACTTGAGAAGAACTTTGATAGAAACGCCTTCTTACAATCAGCCCATGATGTAATAGTCCCCTGAGGTAAAGTCTTCTCCCAATGTCTTGCTTTATCCCCAAGTGAAAAAGGAAAAAGCTTAAGCTTGAAGTTGTCCTCCGGGATCCCATTGATCTTTATCATTCCGCAAACTTGCTCAAAGTTGTCAAGATGCTCCAAAGGGTCCTCCATTGCAAGCCCATGGAACTTGTTGTTCTGCACCATTTAGATGAAGCCTGGCTTGATCTCGAAGTTGTTGTTTTGCACCAGTGGAGGAGTGATTCCAAATCGGTTGTGATGAGTGTTTGGAGCATCACCAGCACCGATAATTTTTGGTGGTCTTGGGGCGTGGTTGGGGTTTCCATTACCCCTACCAACAGCCCCGTGATGATGTTGACCCTCAGCTTGGTCTTGCTCAGCCATACCCACACACTCAACAAAACCTGGTAGCTCCTCAAAGTCTTGTGCTTGTTGTCTCCCTCTTCTTAGCATTGCACTTCCAAGTTGATGAATGTTGTGTAGAGGTTGTAGTAGATTGTTGTCATCTGTAGACCTTAAATTCATGTACCTGAGAAGACAAATGTGAAGGTAGAGCTATTAGTAACTAAAGTAAAAATAAAAACTTAGTCTCTACTAAGCTCCAAATCCTAATACTTTCAACTCAAACCCAAGCCGGCAACGGCGCCATTTGATAAACAGGATTATTGCAAGCTGTTTAGAATCAAACCCAAACCAAGATAATGATGTAGTATAGTGGTGAGGGGTATCAATCCAGCCTAGGTTGATGAAAGCTACTAAGAATGCAAGAGCAATGTAAATCCAAGTCAAATTTGGGTAAATGGATGAGAAATTCTGTTAAAACAAAATGCAAGTGCTAAATGAACAAGAAAACTATTTTAAAAATCCCTCTAAAGGGTTAAACAACTATCAGATGACTTCTAGGAATTTAAAATGCAAGACTACTAATTTATAAAAATCGAACACTAAAGGCAGAGAAACAGAGAATTTCTAGCAACTTAGAACAATGACTTTTAAGACTAAAGATGCAGCCTTTATGACTAAGAGATGATAAACTTGAGTTTTAAAAATTCTAAAAAGAGGATTCAAGGTTGAGGGTCATGTTAAGAAGGTTCAAGATTCAAGCTTGGGTTACATTAGATCTACACATTTTATGTGCTATCTCTAAACCTTGAGAAACCAAAATATATGTATCCATGGTGTATGGCATAAATCCCTTCCTCAACCTTTCCTCCTAACCCATGGTGTATGGCGTAAAGATAGGTCGAAGAGCATAAATCATAGATCTCAAAAAGTGGCTTAACTAGCTCCCTAAGCATCCATGGTGTTTGGGAAAGGATGAGCTAGTCTCTTGGATTTGGTTTTAAGGGACTCCTGAATCCTGCTAAGGTAAGGAGATCCCTGAGATCATAAAGATCTTTCCCAAGACTCTCTAAGCGTTAAGAGCCCAAATCCAAGAAGAGAATAGATTAAGAACAAGAAAAATCCCAAGCTTAAACCCTTTAAACCCTCTTAATCGCCCTAACCTTAAACCCAAAGGAGACTACTCGCTACACATAGCTAAAACACACAAGAACGCAAGAGATGAAAGGCTAAACATGATTAAAACGATTCAGCAAAAGCGATTAAGGATAATACTTAAGATTAAACAAGATTCAAAGGTTCAAAACCAAGAAAAGCTTAAAAAGTAGAGCAATGGCGATTTTTCAGCCTTAGTGCATAAGGAAAATTAAAAGAGGTTCGAGACAAAATGATGGTTCACACCATTTTGCCTAAAATAGCTACACAAAGAAAATGGTCCCCTCACTACATGCCAAAAGTGAGCTGTCCAGATAAGGTTCTAGAGATCGACTTGGGTGATCGATCTCTAGCTCGATCTTCTTCATGGATCGTCCTCCTTTGCTCGATCTTTGGGTCGATTCGGTTGGGTGGATCGAGTGCTTCTCTCGATCTTCTGGTTGATCCTTGGATGATCGAGTCGTGGTCTCGATCTGGCTCTCGTTCTGCATGGTTTAGTCCACGTCCGTACTCACGATCGATCCCCTTGGTACCTCGATCCCTTCTCTGAAACGACCCGGGCTTAGTCGATCTTCTGGTCGATCTCGTCTAGATCGACCTGCCTAGGTCGATCCTTCTCTCGATCTCGGTCTCTTTGCTGAATGGCTGAGTTCTCCCAAGTGTCCACAAGCTCCTCTTCGATCCTTAGCATGTCCACGCAACCTCCACAGCTCCAGTGTGTCCAAAACAACCTGAATATGATGCAAGAATGCAAGAAATATGCAAATGCTAATGCAAAGTGCACTTAGGACCTAAAATGAGACAAATGGTGTAAACCTAGCCTATTATGTAAGATGAATGCATGAAAACTACTCTAAATACATGCTAAATATGCGAAAAATATGAGTATATCAGGAGGTGGCTGTGGTAGGTTGGTCTGATTTACCCTAGCAGTCATGTCAACCTGGTCCGCCTTGAGGGCGTTCCGCGCAGCAGCCGCATCGTCTTTCTGCAGATTGATCTGGTCGACCACTGGGAGTCCGGTGATTGGGTCGACTATCGGGCCCTGGGTGTTGCTCCCGGTGAGATCGGTTGCTCCTCCGACAAGGGTGGTGGTATCGAGATCAGTTGGTGTTTCAACCATCTTCAAGCTCTGCTTTTCTTTTAAAGACTTAGTCTCTTATTCCCCACAGACGGCGCCAACTGTGATAACTCAAATCTGATCTAAAGACTGAACAAGAGTTTAGGAGTTTAAAGAGGGATCTTTAATTAAGAATAGCCGGAGCTCGAAAATACACAGAGGTTTTAGGTCGTCGGAGTAAAGATGGCCGACCTAAAATAGTAATGAAAGTAATTCGAGAGCTTAGAACAATAGAATAGCTAGTTTGCCCTAAGTCTACAGAGATGATTTTCGGATGTTTATGAAGCTAATAGCTTCCTATATTTATACCCGATCAGGTCGGTCTTCTGGAGATAACTTCGTATATCCGAAATAGGAAAACTTCCTTGCTGATAAGACTAATCTTCCAACTTTTCCGGATTAGACTGATAAATGGAGAATTTTCTTTTATCTGGCCAACCTGAATATTCTTTGGGTTGTCAAAATGGGCCGACCAAGGTTCATGTCGGGCTTTTAGAAATTACTCATCTCTAACACTTAATAGTACATTAAAAATTTAGTAAGCTATATAATATATATATACCAAAAATAAAGCTATATAATACATATATACCAAAATAAAGCTTTCTTGACGAAATTAAACTAATATTTAGCAAAATATCAGGAATTTAAGAAATATAGCCAACTAATCTGAAGAAAAAACTAATCTATCAGCAAAATTTGGTAATTGTAATATCCTATGAATGTGCTTTTGAATTTTTATTATCCAACTATTATTATTATTTTTTTAATTTCATTGTCTAACCTTACACAAATATATTTTGATATACAAAAAACAATTGTCACATGTGGATAGAATTTTATTTTATTTTTTGTAATAGAGGAGTTATAATATAAACTTTAAAATTATCATTGTATTTCAAATATTACACAAGTATATTTTTATGCAAAATATAAAACATAAAGATGATAACAAATGAAAAAAAATGTTTCATACTTTATAGCGGGTTAAAATTTTATTAAACAGATGTATATAATATATTTATACCGAAAATAAAATTATAGACCTCTCAAATTTTCACATCTGTAAATATATTTTGTCTAAAAGAAAAACTAAAAATTAATTTTTTAAGAAAAATAGTAGATTAAATAAGATAAGATAAAAAATAAAAATAAAAAGTATCATCCATTCTCAAAACAGATTAGTATCAGAATTTAAAATTTTATATGAAAAAATATAATCCCCGCAAAAGCACGAATCCAAAATCTAGTTACAAAATTAAAAAACTAAATGCAAATAAATATATGAATGGGTTTGCGGCTCATTTACATAAATTTAAATCTGAGCTCAAGTCCATCACGACTTAGTTTGGTGCACGCGCATGGGTTTTCTCTTTATTCTTCACAAAGTAGTCTCAAAGATTTCACTTTATTTGAAATTCTCTATAATATATTAACTAGTCTATTTTGTGTATTTTAAACAATAAAAATTAGACAAACACATCTCATTCAAAACAAACTACAATTTTGACATATGAGTAAATTCATAATCTGGTAATTTCTTCGAGAATATATCGAGAATTGTCCGGAAATATACCAACATAACATGCCTTAAAATTGAGTTACAACATCTTTTTTCTATACCTACACTTGCAAATTTCTTAATTTCATTACATGAAATGAAAGCGAGAGACTTTTCCCATTCAACTCTCAATTTTTGCTTATTTCTTAGGTTTGAAAGTTGGGTTCTATAAATAAAACTGTGGAAAATTCATGTTTTAATGATAATACTTTTTTGAATAACAAAATATTTTGAATGATATTTAAAAATCTTTAAACATATAGTAGAATTTAGAAATTTTGAACATCAAATTCATCTACCAATGATCAAGCTTTAATTCATCTACCAATAATCCAACTTTAATTCATTCAAGACATTAGAAAAAGTTTTGTAAACAATGTTAATTCATCTATGATGAAAGAAACTAATTTTTCTTTGGTCAAAAAAAGGTAACTAATTTTCAATATTCTTATCATTGTGTGCTGTGCATTGATATTCCGACAAAAAAAGTGCAAACCTTTTATATAAAAAAAAAAAAATTTGGTGTACTGTGTCTGTGACCGTGAGGGGAATAGAGCAATTAATCCCAAATCAGAATCGAACATGAGCCAATTAAAAATGCACATTGGTCCATAAACCTATAGAACTTACACAACACATGTGAATAAAAAATAGATGTACAAGAATGTTTACTATGCTAATGCATCTATTCTATTGTCTCTTTAAAGGGTCCCGATTCATGCAACAGTTTGATGACATAATCCACCTGCGACGTACAAAGTCACATTGTTTAAAAAGCAACAATTCAATTAGATACCAATGTTCTTTACTCTTTACTCTTCAATCACCACAACTTTAAACATACCTGATTTGATTCGCGCACTAAAAACTCGTCTATGGCTTGCCTGAAACCTTCATCGAATACGTAATGGCAACTATATGTTTTAACTGGGAGGTAGCCCCGCTTAATCTTATGCTCACCCTGAGCTCCAGCTTCCACTGTTTTAAGATTAAACTCTATGGCTGCTTCAATTGCCTGTGTGGCCAACATTGTCAAAAACATGACTTCATAATCATATATATAATGACGCATACCAATGTTTAGGAACTAAATATGGAGACATCCTCAATTATACAAGTAACAGGTGGACTAAGTAAAACAGACTAACCAATAACCAGATGTTTCCAAGGAAAATGAAATTTCGGTTCGAATACCATGATCCATTTTCAACATCTAATATATGATCTCACACGAAAACTCTCAGACTTTGTATACAAAAAGACCAACCTGGTAATAGCACGCTTCAAAATGGAGACTAGGATAATAGGAATCAGGACGACATCCCCATAGTCGACCAAATAGAGTATTTCCACCAATAAGATTCAATGCTCCTGCAACAGGTTCCTCGTTTTCTTCAGCAAGAACAAGTAATACTCCATCTCCCAACTTTGATGCCATGTCGTGGAAGAACTCCCTTGTTAGATAAGGTGTGCCCCATCTACAAATATCCAGAAAACGTTAAGCATGTAAAAAAGAAAAACCCATTGTATTATCAGAATAACGATGCAGGGGCAAAAAGAAAAACAAATTGGACTAAAATGATATGGACTAAACTTGTTATCAGTTGTGTTCCTGTAGAAATCATAGAAGGAATCCCAGTGCCTAGCCTGTAAAAACATTTAGGAACAAAAGATGGATTGAAAAATAATTATTAAAATTAAATTTTTCAAGACACATGTCAATTTGTAAGCCCCATAACGTAGAAACCAATTTCCTTGATAGCATGTCCCATCAATTCGTACCTTTATATCATCCCCTCGTAGCCGTCTCATTTTCAAATTCTGCGTACCAATCTACTAGAGAAAAAGAGCATTAGAAGTCAACAGCGTGCTTTAGAACTAGGTTAATTTCATTGATCATTACGATGATATGGAAAGAGGAAAACTAAAACAACCTTTTTGCGCTCCTGCCGGATATTTTTCCTTTTGCTCTGCTTCATGTCCATCAAGAACTCATCAAAACTAAAGCATCAGAGACAAAACAAAAGTTCACATTGGTCATATTTTTAACTTTTAAATGAACAAAGTTGGAAGTCAGCAGATCATGACCAGAGAGAAAGTAACGCATGAATATTAGTATAACCAAACTAAATCAAATGCTTCACGGACTTGAACTATTATATCAGTCGTATCACCAAACCCTCAAATATATTCACATAGATGTAAGCTACAGCAATCGATTGTTCAATCGTTACTGTATGAGCACTTTTTGAACATATACCTAAACTGTTCAAGATCCACGAAAATCATCCACAAGGGAGCCGGACGACTTTGAAGTGATGTTTTTTTTCCGTAGAACTTAACTATAACAATATACAAAATATGAAAAGCAACTATTATAACAAGTATATGATTATTAGCAACGAAACTTAATTACTTTTTATAGCCACGATTCTTCCAGTGGTACTGCATCCCAATCCTCTGCGAGAAGCCTTTCTCCTTCAATTTGTTCCATTCAGCTCCAGAAGGAAATGTAATGTGCAAAGATGAAACTTGTAACTGCCAAATTGCACAGAATAAAACTAAATCCCACTCGAAAGCAAAAACTCAACGTAAGAGAATCATTACGGCTCTTGGAAGCTAAAATGTGAGATTGTTCCGTTAATTTTATATCACAAGATCACAAGTTTAATCATGTTGTACAATACAACGAATTTCATAACGGTGATGTCGCACCTTAGCCGCTAGTTCTGTCATGGCAGAAACAATAGCATCGAAAACTTGGTCTTTACAAGGACCATCATGGACCAGGATCCTAGGGCCAGAAACTGGTGTGAAAGGAACACAACACTGGAGTTTAGGATAGTATCTTCCCCCAAAACTACGGTATGCATCAGCCCAAGAGTGATCAAAAACAAATTCACCGTACGAATGGCTGTAACGCGTATTACAATACATAAGAACAGTCACAGAGAAGCAAATCAAAATGAAACATTTACATCACAGCAATGACACATCTAAGAAACCTTTTGAGATAAAGTGGAGAAACGCCCAAAACATTTTCGGATTCATCCTTTGCAACAATATGTAATGGCAACCAACCTGTTTCCTGAAACAATTGCATATAGAGATAGATGCTTATAGGAAAGACAAACATCACAATTACTACATCAAAGGAAATTGCTTTTTTACCGACCCGAATGGCACATCCTGTCTCTTCTAAACTTGAAAGAAACCCATGCGTCAGAAACGGATTATAGCTTTCAGGTTGTGAAGAGTCCAAAGCACAAGCATCCCATTCAGATGGCTGTATCTTCGATATTGAAGAAACAACTGAAAGTGAAATGACATTTTTCCTCGAATCTTCCTAAACTCGAAACGAAACCTCACTGTTAGAGCAGCAAGGAGAAGCGATGATGGTATGATATGATATCATCCGGGGATCAACGAAGGAGAAATTCAAATACCTCGATGCCTGATCCAGTTAGAGGATAACTCGCAAGTGAAACATCGAATTCTCGCACTTCTGGAGACTTGTTTGATCTCCAGAACATAGCAGTCACTGTGGATGCTCGTCTTGAGCTCCGGACATTTTCTCTCTTCCACGAATTTCCCTGCAGAGAGATCATCATGGAGACTGATTTTATCTAAATCCAAAAAACTAATTGAATAGCTAGCTACAAATACGGGATGATCAACCCATTTTCCCAAGAGCGAGCCGTAGTCGCAAAAGTAGCTTAACAGAGGAAAACATCGAATATGATTCACACAATCTGGAATCGGAATCAGAGAAAGATGGTCCCAAATCGAGCGAAGAAAACGAAGAAGAGAACTCACGGAGTGACGATGGAAACGACGAAGAGGAAACGAAGAAGGTTTGCAGTAGGAAAGTACAACGGCCATGGAGGAGCGAAGCGTGAATGTGTGGCTCTTCTGAATCAATGGCTGGAATGCCCTTTTCGGTTGAAACAAGATCACAAATGACCCAAACTGATTTGTTTTTCTATTTTTTTTAATTCGAAAAATGAGTGTTTTACGGATCTATTTTTCAAAAACTTAGAATATTACTCATCCAACCAAACTTATATTTACCTATTTAAAAAACGATCCATTTAAATCAGATCAACCCCACTTAATATATTTAAATTTATTTAATTAAAAGTAAAAATCAAAAATAAAAAATCAAAAAATATTAAATTTTTATTAAATCAAATAAATCTGAAAAACAAAAGTCTGATTTATATTTTGGTTTTATGGATTCGAAAAATTAAATTTAGGTTTTCTTTCTAACTATGTCCAAGATGTATACATGACAATTGGTGTGATCAAAGGCTGACCCTTGGTAATCAAGTTTTCATCATCATTCAAATTATCTCCAAGTTTTAATCCAGTGTCCAGCTTATGTTCTGGCTCATCAGGGAGAGTGTCACTCATCAACATACTCATTGTGAAGTTCATAGCATGTTTCACACGCTCTGGAAGTTGTTGTTGCTCACTCTCATCTTCAATGATCATTCCACAAAAGACTATGGAAGGAGAGACAATCCTGTAGACCTTGTACTCATCAACATTTTTCAGAATAACATCGTCATTTACGTCCGTACTCCTTGATCGATCTCTTCACTCGATCTTGGTCTCGATCAGTTCTCTTGGATCGGATGGGCTACTCGATCTTCTGGTCTAGATCGACCGGCCATGCTTGATCCGCTTCTCGATCTCTGATCCTTAGCCAGCATTCCTGAATTCTCCAAGTTTCCTCGAGCCTCCTCACGAGCCTTAGCACATCCACAAATCTTCCAAGACTCCAAAGTAGACAAAAACAACCTGAATGTGATGCAAAATTCAAGAAACATGCATATGCTGGTGCAATAATACTCTATGACCTAAAGTGATGCAAACTAACATAAAGTACAAGGTAAATGCATGAGAAACTAACTTATATGTATGCAAAATACATGAAATATGCAGCAATATCATCAGGGCTTTTCAAGGGTTGATGAAGAGATTGTAGAATCGCTATCTGTTAGGAATATCTTATGGTTTTTCATTTCTGCTTGCTTTAAAATCGAATATCTGAGACACATCATCTAGGAATCCGAAAATCTTAGGTTGTTAAATATATGTGAGAGCATTATTCATAACCTGAACTAGTATTTGATGAGCAAAACAACTTAGTGCAAAGAGATTTAGCTTAGGAGTTTTGTAAACAATTGAATCTGATCATTCCTGTATGCTTAGGTTGTTAGGGTTTGCAAAAAGATTTGAACTCTATGATTTAGGCATAGATAACTTCTGCAATGAGAATTGATTAGTTATACATCAGTGATTCATGTTTAAAATGGTTCTTAATCATTTCTGATTTCCTGCATTCTACATTCTTGGATTCAACTTGCGAACTGTCCTGACTTAGCGCTTTTAGTCTTCTGAAACTTAGATCATCTTACAAAAAATCGTTTGCTTACTTTTATTTATTCATTCGCATTACATACATTATATCTTTCTTAGCTTAATCTGAACCTACATTCGATAGTGTAGTCTGCATTACTCTCTTGGGATTCGATACCCCTTGTACTACAAGTGCTTTTGCTGTGCACTTGCAATAGCTTTATTTGGGTAAAACCGGACCCTATCAAGTCTACTCAGACATCTGGATCCTCCCACTCCACTTATTAAACAAGGTACCACATCCTATCCATTGTCAATACAATTGCATTTTTTTTTTCAATTCTATATTGTATTTTGTTGCTTTTCTCTCTCATTGCTTTCATTACACAAGGGACTGTGTAATTTAGTTGTGGGAGAGAGATTTGGGGGTTTAACTTTGTGTTTTGTTTTCTTAGTTTTTTATTTTCTTTCACTTTGAGTCACGTGCATATCATGCATTCATCTAAGGCATAGAAAAACACAAAAAAATTGAAAAATTTTGAAAAATTTTGCATGTTTTTGCAAATAAAAAAGAAAACATATAGTTGCATTTCATTCTTGTAGGATTGAGTCTAGTGTTGACATATAGGTTGCATTGCATTTGCATAGGGCATAATGATGAAATTTCCTTGTAAAGTGCTTAGAGTTTAGAGATGATTTTAGTGTTTAAGTGATTAGTTGTTTGATGCATCATAAGAAAGCTAGAAGTTAAGACTGAACCATGCTTGGATTACTAATTTTGATCATCTCATTTCATACTGAAAGCACTTGTTCTCTGAAAATCAACTCTATCAACTTGAACTTTAATTTGGACTTTTAATTATCATGTCTTGTGCATTGAAAAGTGAATTCATGGCTACCAGATACATATTTGGATCATCTTTTTCCTTTCTACCACTCTTGTTGATCCAAGTAGCTGATCCTCATATTTATGGGACAGTTAATCCACTCCATTAATCAAAACCTTCTTTTGAGCCTAAACACTATCTTGAGAGTTGTGAGGCCTTTGCATATAATTTTCGATTTTGTCTTGGCAAAAAGTGTTAGGAATAAGGCTGGTAATAATAAGCTCTCTTGTAGATATCAGCTTGCATCTTGAGCTTGATTCTAGGATAGGAGTTCAGTGTCCTCAGTGCTCAGTGAATAGAGAGAGAAACTCTTCAATGATAGCTTCCTCTTCAGCTGAGAAGCTATCTTCTTCAGTTACCATGGCATTGCAGAACTCTTTTGGGTTAGCCTCTGGTTTTCCAGGAAAGTGTCCTTGAGGTTTTGGACCAGCTATACCTTTGTTGTTCTCCAGTGTTTTGACTCTTGCAGCCAACCCATCAAACTTGTTGGTTAGTTCAACATGTACTGAGTCTATTTTGTTATGAACCTCAGCAAACCTCTTGTTTAATTCCAAGTTGTTGGTAGTCTGATTGTGAAGTAGCTGCTGAACCATTGTCTTGAACTCGGGATCTTGAGAGCTGGAAGAAGCTTGAGCTGGAGCTTGTGCACTGAATCCTTGAGGATGGTAAGGCGCTCTTGGCTGGAAGTTTTTGTTTCTCTGCTGAAAACCTTGAATGTTGTAGGGAACATAAGGTCTTGGAGCAGCTTGCTGTTGTTGTTGTGGTCGGTACACTTGATCTTGTAGATTGGCAACATTGTTGCTTCTGTATGACAAGTTGGGATTGGGTATGTAGTTCCCATATCCATTGTATCCACCTTGATTACTCAAGTAGTTCATCTCTTACACTTGGCATGTCTCTTGATCATCAAGCTGAACCATATCACCAACATAGTGAACCTCTTTCTTCTCCCTTAGCAGCATATCCAGCTTCTCATGTAAGCCTCGATCTCTTTCCTGCTAGACTCCAGTTCATCTTTAACACTTCTTGGAGCTCTGTCATATTCCTCATTGTAGTTTCCATCAGACTGAGCTAGATTCTCAACAAGCTCCAGTCCTTCATCTACATCCTTTGACAAAATGTTCCCATTTGAAGCAGTGTCCAGAAGCATTTTTATCTTTGGCAAAGCTCCTCTGTAGAGAGTAGAGAGTAGAGAAGCATGTGAGAAGCCATGATGCGGGCATTGCAGTGTGTAGCCCTTTAATCTTTCCCAAGCTTCACCAAAGCATTCATTGTTCCTCTGTGCAAACCCTGAAATTTAATTCCTGATTCTTGCAGTTCTTGAAGTTGAGAAGAACTTTGCTAAGAAGGCTCTCTTGCACTCATCCCAACTAGTGATGCTTCCTTGGGGCAAGTTTTTCTCCCATTGGTGTGCCTTGTCTCCAAGAGAAAAAGGAAACAACCTCAGCTTGAAGCCATCTTCACTCACTCCATTGATCTTTGTTAGGGAGCATAGTCTATCAAAATTATCCAGATGATTTAGAGGATCTTCAAGTGGCAAACCATGGAACTTACTGCCCTGAACCATTGAAATCAATCCAGATTTGATTTCAAAGTTGTTGTTTTGGACTGCTGGTGGAATGATGCCAGTTCTGTTGTTGTAGGCATTTGGTGCATCACCAGTGATAAACAAATTTGTTTGCAAGGTGAAATATCAAATCCCAAACCACTGTAATGATGTAGTATAGCAGTAAGGGTATCAATCCAACCTAGGAAGCAGGAAGAACACTAAGAATGCAAGAGTAAAGCAAAGCTAACCAGATCGGGTAAATAGGTGGTAAAATCAAAGAAAACTAAATGCAACGACCAAATGATTATGCAAACTATTTTAAAATCCCTGGAAGAGGGTTAACAACTACTAGAAGAAAACAGAGACCCTAAAATGCAAATCTACTAATAACTAAAAATCGAAAGCTAAAACGGGTAAAACAGATCGATTCTAACAACTTAAGATGAATGACTTCTAATGATCAAGATTGCACTTTATGACTAGAGAATGATAAACAGAGGTTTTAAAATGCTAAAAAGAGGGTTCAAGGTGGAGGGTCATGTTCAAGAGATTCAAAGGTTCAAGCTTTGGTTTGAAAACATCTAGATCTAGCACTCGATCTATAGCTCATATACGCCCCTTTCTTACTCCTTTTGGAACTCGGATCATGGCTTGCGTCTCCCATACTTTTTTCTACACACTCACAAGACAAAAATATAAAACTGGAAAAAGAAATAAAGTAAAAATATGTACAGGATAGACATGGGAATGCCTCCCAAGTGCGCTTTCTTTAACGTCTTTAGCTAGACTTTACTTGGTTTAGGAAGATGGTGGGTCTTGGAGAAGCATTGAGGTGCTCTCCTTGTCAAATACACTCGCCATGTACGGCTTAACTCTGTGCCCGTTCACTGTGAATGCATCTCCACTCTTGCCAACCAACGTTACAGCTCCGTAAGGTAGTACTTCCTTGATCTCATACGGACCGCTCCACTGTGACTTCAGCTTTCCTGGAAAGAGCTCGAGCCTCGAGTTGTAAAGCAGCACCAAACTCCCTTCCTTAAGTTCCTTAGGTACCAGCTTCTTGTCATGAGAAGCCATGGTACGTTCCTTGTAGATCCGAGCGTTTTCGTAGGCATCCAGCCTTAGCTCATCAAGCTCGTGCAGTTGGATCAAACGCTTCTCCTGAGCCGTCTTCAGATCAAAATTCAGCTGCTTCACAGCCCACAACGCCCTATGCTCC